AACTGTGGCAACTGACCTTGCTCTGTGTTTCATTAAAGGGATATAACTGTCTCACCCAAGTTGTGACATAACCCAGGAAGCCGAACTTTATATAACCAAAGACTGGAGTCTCCAAAGACTCAAAGCATTTAATTAAGTTTAATTAAATCTTTTAGTTACTTGATTGCGTTTGCCTCTATTTGAGTAGTTTTGTTAACATGTTGTTGCTATCTGTTGTTGATATTAGTGCTGAAAAGAATCTAAATAAGTTACTTTTGCCGTGTTTTTATTTTCAGCAAGACACTCCCTCATCAACGTAATCAATGTTTGTTCATAATACTTTCCTACAAAATTCCTTTAGAAATGTTTTACTATACTCTTAATCACCAGCTTGAATTTAAGGATGAATAACTAAATCCCCTGGTTCCTAAGGAGAGATGATCTTGGATTAATCTAAGCTTTCCTCATGTAACCTGAGCTCCCCCAAGTGGACAAAATAACTATTACATGCCCTCGTTGGAAATGCCGTTAAATGTATAAATATCCTGACCAATAATGTGACAATTGTTTCTTGTTACCAAATGCCTAGAACAGTACAACCGTCTGACCATTGAGGTTTGGTTGTGGAAAATATTTGATTATAATACGCGCAAATAGATTTTCTTTTCTTTTAGACATTAAGTTTAGAAAGGCAGTCCCTCGGGAAACCTGAAACGCCCTCTGGGGAACCACGCCCCAGGCAACAAAAAAGCGACACGCGACGTTGGTTGTTCTCTACTCTTCTGTTCTCTTCTTTGCTCTCTCCCTCTCAGCTCTCTGCTCTATGGATGCTTCGGCAAGCGTCCGGCGTGCCTCGCCAGGCAACGCCTTAAGAGTCGGCCAGCGCAACCAGCCTTTTGTTCGCTAGAAGCTACACACGCGAAGTGCCGCAACATCGATCTGCCCCTCAGTTTGTTTTATTTTCTTTCTTTCTTTTGTTTTGTTAAAGTTATCAGTCCGTGAAGTTACACTGGACTAATTCAGGAACAACCAAGTTCCATTTTTTCGTCGAGTCAACTTCACCGAGGTCAGACCAAGCCACGTGGTCTCGCCAGCGGCAACGAAGGAAACCTGAAAACAGCCGAATTGCCAGACGGAGGACGACGTTTTCTTCAGTCAGACACAGAGAACCCCGGAGGATGACTAGCAAAAAGCCAGGATCGGCAGCTAGCGTGGGACCCGTGCAACAGGCCAAAGCAGGCAGACAAGCCATAAGACCTAACACACATTCTGTGGTCAGAGACGTACCGAAATGTTAATATTTCCTTTTAACTCCTAAATTCATAGCTTACTTTCATTAGTTCTCCTATGCCGTATGAGTCAAATGCTTCCCACAATCAAACCTCCAGGCTCATTGTGCCGCCATTGTTTATTTACCCTTTTATATCACATTAGTTAGAGAATAAATTCACTGTAATATAATCAAGAGCTGTGTGTGTTGCCTATGTCTAAGTCCCTGCCAACAGAATTGACCCTTTAGATATGAGACTGACTGACTGATTTAAGATAATTGAGCGATTATTAACTGAGTGATCACTAGTAATAATTGTATAATTATTAAAAGCTACCTAGAGGTCCGGAGACTCTAGGATTATAACAATTCCGGTGGTGCCCTGGAACGAGGAATCATTTTGATTTTATGAATATTAAAATTCATAATTGGGTATTAATTCTCATAAATTTATTAAAATTCATAACTAAATTAGCCATGCTACATTTGTAATAGACATGTATTAAGACCAGTTTACATAAATAAGCCACAAAACAATAAGTGAATCCATGTTTTAAGATGTACTTTCTTATGTTCTATAGTTTACAAGCCAATTAGATCACTTCGCCTCTCAGTCATTTTGTTATTTAGGGTAAGCTCATATATGTGAAAATTGTCTGTCTCTAATTTTCAGCATCTGAACTCTGAAAGAAGCAGCTTTGATTTTCTGTCCAAAAACAAGAAAGAAATGGAAACTCAGCATTATTAATCCAGATGATCCAGAACTGTCACACTGCATTCTGTATCACATTCATGGATGGACATCCCACAAAACCCAGACATTTCAGTCATCAGGGGCTCCATATTACAGCACGATTGTTAGAAATACAAACTCACTGGATCTTTATAGAGAGTCAGAAAAAATGGCTGCAGACAATCTGCTATCACCGAGAATGATTTCTGCACAGAAGACATTTATATAACAACACTGTTTATTTATTACTGCAATGTTGCCTCTGGCCACCAGTGGCAGCATCGAGCACAGAGGTGCTAAGCAGCACTCCAGGTGATGAGTGAGATGATGTATAAAATTTAATGTCAGAGACCTTTCATGGTCAGCGTGTTTTTTATTACTTCACACCCTATTGTCTCTCTTGTCACAGAACAAATTGGATTTTGTTATAATGGTTAGGTATTTATGCAAAAAATTAAAATATTTTGTTAATGAGATTGTTAATGACTCTTGGCCAAATCTTCCTACATTTGCCCTTTGGACACAGATGACTGTCTAGACTGACACAGAGGAGGAGTGAGTGAGGTACACTTGTTTGACAGGAAAAGACAGCAGTGGTGTCTGAGCACAACAATGATGATGCTTCCAAAGTCAGAAATGTGATGTGGAATGTCTGAGGTGACGTGGGAGCGAGGTTACTTTTGTAGTTAAGTTTAAGTTTTGTAGGTGATGAGGAGAATTTTATACTGGATTCTGTGTTGGATAGGGGACCAATGGAGGTTTTGGAGGGCTGTAGGGATGTGGTCTCTGGTGCTGGAGTGAGTGAGACAGGAAGCTGTGATTTCAATTCAATTCAATTCAAACAACTTTATTTATCCCTGTAGGGCAATTTAGTGGCAGGCTAAAAATAGTTTTAGCCTGCCAGTCATATCAAACAAGACAAAAATAACAATCAATCAAGCATTCAGAAACCCTGTCAATGACATCATATAAGCATTTGAGATAATAATTTAGGCCCAGCAATCTAACTTAAGCCCAATTACAACATTCATATTCACAACGGACCACATGTCCTGTAACAGTTTTGTTGCAAAATTAATGCCAATCAAATGTTTGTTTTATCACTACACATAACTCTACTTAAAAACATTCAAATACAAGTGAAACAAGGCTACAGCTACAAGAAGAAATACTTAAATATATCATTTTTGTGCACTACTGGAGTGATAGTTTTGTACCTTATATTTTCTCACGCGACTTGTTTTGATCATCACCAGTGCGCCTTCCAGGCATCCAAGGGGTGCTCTCTCAAGTGAATGAAGTAGGCTATATTTTTCACAGTTTTTATTATTTGATTTATGACCAACCACCCCTTCTGGCCCCTCTCACCAGTGGTAAATATATAATTCTATATTTACAGTTTCCAGTTCAGCAGCTACATTATCAAAGTCGTTTTTAAGATTTTAAATGGGCACTGAGGTCAACCAGTCAGATGCCCCTTGATGTCCCCAGATCCAGGTTAAAACATAAAAGTGACTGCTCCTAATCTCTGGAATATCTTACCTGTTCAATTAAGAAATAGTCGCAGTGCTGACAAGTCCTTGCTAAAGACCCACCTCTGTTCACTGGCCTTTCATATGCGCAATAAAGTCACAGCAAATATTGCTGGTCATTTAATCAGCAAAACAAAAGCAAACTCTGAACCATGCGTATGCACAAAAACTGGAGAATTGAGAAACTCAAAATATTACCTCTGAGTATAACAGACCAATAAAACATACTATAATTTAATAAAAGTTCATTTGCCAAAAAGATGAAAGCCTTTTCGACTAAACAAACACCCGTTGGAGTTCCCTGGAGTGTCGCAAAGATTGTGGGCTGTAGGTGGTGTTGCATAAATACGGTAACCTCGAGTTAACCACGAACATAACCTGTTCGGAGCAGTTTAGAGATGCAGCGTAAATTGCCATGGCAACAGACCTCAGGTAACACCTATCCACCTTTCGTATTACGGGTTAATTGGGAAGTTCCACCCGACGTCACAACGTTACTCCTGAAGTTACCTGGATAAGCCAGTTACCTCGCTTTGTAGTACAGACCTGTGCTCCGGAGCAGATTATGTTCCATTTGAACAAAAAATACAATTAAAGATTCCTCCCTCCACTGAGGGGGCTAACCCAGACTCTTGGTTCTTGACTCATAGAACCCAGACGTTGTCCAACCCACTAGTTGAACAGTCTGCCACTGTCTGTTGGACTGGCTGTATAGCAGCGATCAGCTTACTGGATTTTGGCTCTTGGCCTGTAATCTCAGCACGTAGGAGAAGAGAGTGCTGTGAAAAACCCAAGCCTTTTTAACCTACAGGCACTCAGTGGTAATCAGGCACTCCAGCTGCCACTGTCTTATGCAACGGGGGGGGGGTCACCACCTGAGAGTGTAGCGAGAGGGGAGGAACACACATATGACCCTTAGATCATAAAAAATATGAATGTATTTGACCCACCTTTTGCGATGTGGGTGCAGGTAATGAGGGGAGTTTCCACCATTATTTGAGCACATTTTATGGCATGAATGGATTTTTCATTTCGTTGCTTTATGAAGTTAATTTAGAACACTTTTAAGTTCGTTAAACACAATAATGTCATTTTTGAGGTTTCCAGAATTTCTTAAAAGTGAGTTGGAACGACTACTTATACTATTTGTGTAACTTTACAGTTTCCTCGTGGTTTGTAAAATATAATGCTCTGAAGCCAGTAGACTTGTTCATGTCTGCGATTGGTAATGTGCTGCTACTCACTGGATTGGGAAACACGGGGTTGACTTACTGAGTTGATAACCAGCTTTGTGTGACCGCTTATCCTGATCCCAATTGTTAGGGCTAGTGAAGAAGTTAGTAACACCTCTGACACACCCACCTAATGAGACAAAAAGATACCTCAAAGCCTGCTGTACACTGTTTCGAGGAAACATGTTGTTCAACTCAGACACCGTACCAAACTGGTGCAAAACGTTTTTATATTAAACGTGCCCCATATTTAAATTTGACAGCAACAATATGATTGGCTGATAAAATGTGGTTGCAAATCCTGTTTGGTTAACTGAAAGTGGACACCCATCTCAGCTGATTAAGATAAACAGGAAGAAAGAGGGAGAGAGATGTGAATGAACATACCCTGAGCTTACTTTGATGTGAAACGAAGTTACACTGCAGAGCTGCAATCATTCGCACTATGATGAACTTCATCTTGACAACAGCTTTAATTATCTGCAGCATCAGTAAGTACTGCCAACACATTTCTCTCTACTTTGTTGCTTCTACAATTAACACTTATTTTCTTATGTATAATTTATTCAGAGGTGTTGTTTACCTTCCTATAACACGCACATCTCTTGTTGTCTCTGCTGTTTGTTTCAGGCTGGATCTCTGTCTCAGTTTCTGAGTCTCAGACTGTGAAGGTCCAGCCTGGTCAAGAAGTCACACTGTCGACTACCAACATTTCCAAACTTTCAGGCATGACAACCTGGTTCAGAGTGGTCAACAGAACCAAGGCCAGCTGTATCTCCATTATGACCAAGGCTGACATCAATCCTAAATACTGTGATGGAGTAGAAAACGGAACATTTGAAATGAGCTCCAACACCTCCACTGTCTTTCTCACAATTAAGACAGTGGATTTTTCTGACTCTGGGCTGTATTTGTGTGGATTTTTCATAGAGGGACAGACAATTTTAAGTGTGATACATTTAAATGTTGAAGGTAAGATTATAAAATCCTGTGGTACCTGTTCTTCTGTTGTGTCTTTCTATATTTGCAGTAACTTTAATTTAATAATTGTCCTAAAACATATATGTGGCTATTTAATCATTGTCAAAGTAAACGTAATAAAACCATTTTAAAGTAAAATCTAGATTAAATAATCTTCATTTTGTTAAAAGGCAGTGATGAATCTCATGATGACGTTGACAGAAAGTCTACAAGTAAGATCCTCTTTAAGATTTCTTTGTGCAGATTCACTTCTAGTCATTTTTAAGATAAAAACAGTACGGCTAACTTAACATTTGTCAGTTTAATGTTAGCAATTCTCAAGCCACTAAAGAGAAAATAGAGTCTAACTATATTTTCTTTCTTTTAGCAGAGAGTGATAGAATACCAAACCTGATGAGTGTGATCCTGGGCGGCCTGACTGTTTTCCTCATAACGGTCATCATCTGTCTGGTTGTTAAAAACAGGAAACTTCAGAAAGGTACAATATTGTTTTAAGCAATTGCTTGGATCTTGTGTTTGGTTTCTTGTTTTTTTCTCTACTCTAATGTTGTGTGAATATGTTGAAACAATACAAATGTTTATCTTGGTCACCTGATTAGACGTATTGTCTCTGTTGTTCAGCTGCCAACGAAAAACAGAATCCACAACAGCGTGAGGTGAATCAAGTTTTACTGTTTACTATTAAATATTTAAATACATTAAAGGTGGTTGAATCATGTTGGGATTTAGTTTTTCTCACAAACTCAGCCAGTTGACGTGTGGAACTGTGTGTCCTCTTTACAGAATCTGGACTCTGATGACCTGAAAGCACTGAGTTTGTATTCAACAACAATAAGAAACAGGAGGCCTGCATCAGAGAGAGAAGTGGAAACTCATGTTGTTTATGCTGCCAGCAGATAGAATAATGCTATTAATCATTTTCATCAATTGATGTTCTTATGTGGGTTTGGGGGGGGTTACCATTTTCTTATTTAAATCTTGATCTTTTAGTCTCATGAGTCTTTCTAACTCTAGAGAGACTGTCCATAAAGACAATAGATAGATGGAGGTCTGCAGATGGAGGAGTGAGAGAGGCACGCATCATTTGTTTAACAGGAAGAGACAGCAGAGTGTGGTCTGAGCACAGCTGAGCTGAAAATCATGAGGTCACTTAAATTAAATCTGAATCTGAATAAAGTCGGACATGAAGCAGTGAATACTGGCTGACTTTCCTCTGCCAAGCAGACAAAGTGATCAGGTTCTGTATTTTTATAGATATTTTGGAAACTGGATATTTGATGTCAATGTTTTACATGTCTGAATAAAACATAAAATTTGTTTTAAAGTGATTGGTACTTGTATTTATGAATAGAAATACTTAATTTATAAATATAAATATTTATGACAGCCACACATCCATGTTGTTGCACTTTGCACTGTGGTGAAAAACAGCTCTTTCTATATAAGGGAGATCTCTGTATATCTGTATCTTCACACCTCTGACAGACTCACTCGCTCTTTTATCTTCACATAGTGTTTAATCTACTGAAGCAGAGTGACACTTTTACAGTCTCACATGAAGCCATTCACTCCACACGCTGTACAGTGCTGTTTCGGAACAGAAAAGTTCAGCTGTGCATTCAAACAGGCGGATTTATGTGAAAGACATTGATTGTGCTTTCCATGCGCTTGGTGACCTTTATTGTATAAATGTGCTTAAAGGACAAATAACAGCACTGAGAGATGACAGTGAGATAACTCCAGAGTGATGACATGCCCAAAATCTGACTTAAAGTGGTGACAGACACTGTGTTCCAGGAGAGCAGGAAATGAACAATTCAGGTTGAGTTTATGAGGCTGTGGATTTGGTGCCTTCAGAACTGGAGAGGAGATTTGACCAGGACAGCATGCAGATAACAGCAAGAAGAGAGACCATAATGATTGATACAGCAAAGGGCCATAAAGTGGAACTTTAGGGCTGCATAGCTTGGGAGACCTGTACATTGATGGTATATTTGCAAGCTTCAACCAATTAATTTCTACCTTTAATCTACATAAATCAGACTTTTCCACGGTACTTCCAGTTGCGGGACTTTACGAAAACACACGCCACATCATTCCCACAGATAACAACACCCAGCGGGAGCTCTTAAGGCTAAAACCCTGTGAAAGGGCCATATCTCCTTTTTTCATAATTTATTGTCCTCAGCCAGTGAATCTATTTTACAGAAGATCAAGATGAACTGGGAGTCAGAACTCCAATTAAATCTCTCTGAGAACAGAGGGAGGCGGGGTGTTCCTGTATGCACTTTATGTCTGTCTCTTGGACTTTATAAATAAAAGCTATAAAAAAATAAATTACAAAAAAACAGTGATGAGAGGATGAAGAGGGACTATCCTTCTGGGCATGAGAAGAGAAAAAAACTCAGTGAGACTGTAGGAACAGCAGTCAGGTTGTTCTCTCCTCTCAAAGTCTGTTGGTTGATGTGCAGCTGCAGTGCATCTCTCTGCACTGTGTTACCGCCTGGCAACAAAAAGGGAGGGCCTCATACAGATCATAGAAACAAAAATGGTTTATTTCAGGGGGTTTCACAGTCTGAGGCCCAATCCCAATGTCCACCCTCACAGACTCACAGACTTTCAGGCGCGTTCCGGGGAAGTCCATGAGGGCTCAGGGCTGTCCCACTGTCAAATGGTCAAGTGCGCGAGGGCTCTCTCACGGACATTTTGAGCCCTTTACAGACCCTTTTCGTAAGTCCGCATTTCTGCAGACTTTGGCTGAGCGAATTGCCCACAGTTCATAGCGGTGTGAAGTGAAACACGGGGCTTACCAGGGGAAGCCCGGAAGCGAGAAAAATATCACGGCAAATCTGCGTTATAAGAGAAGAAGAAGAAAAAATGGTGAACAACCAACGCTGATGTTAAAATTGTTGAAAGTTTTCTTAGGATGCTGCATAGAACTCATGAAGTCAGAGGAATGCAATCACCTTATTACACACTTATATCATTCAACTATTTATTTTAGTTTTTGCTTAATGATGCTGTTTGACCAACAACAGTGTACTGATTAATTACAAATATATATTGACATTTACCTCTCCTCCACTCTGCAGGGCGAGAGCCTGCAGGACTTAAAAATAAGGCAAAAAAATAAAATAAAAAGTGTGCAACGTGTTTCAGCGTCGTCAAGGTAACGTAATAAAATGGCAAAGTGCTCTCCCGTTCCTGGTTACAGCATTTTGAGCCCTTGCAGTCTCTTAAACTCAATCACTTTCCATGTGATGTCAGTAAAGTCTGTGAGGGTTCAGGGCTCAGGGCTGTTGTTAGCTCTCCGTTTCCAGTGTCACTTATTGTTGAGAAAAAACGTTAGCTAGCTACCTTAACGTTGCCTTTTTTTACTTCTTAACTTATTCTTCTTTGGTGTTTTAGCGGTTGTCATTACCGCCACCTACTGGATTAAACAGTGCAAAATATTTAGTGTCTATTCACAACTGTAATCCATCTAGTTATTTTTAAGGGGATTTCTTTCTTTTTTTCTGTTTTGGGGCTATAGTAGCATTCTTGCAACCCCCTGGGACCTGGTCGGGACCCCCAAGTCAGCGTTAGACTATCAAGTCAGCGTTAGACTATCAAGTCAGCGAAAGTCAGCCACAACTTTTAGAACTACATCAAGCCTAAGTGTAAAATCGCTTATGAATAGATTTACTACCCAAGCTACATAAGCATGTCCTTGCCTGACATCTGTCTGCTACAGTATGTTTTTTGGACTAACCAAGTTTCTGTGAATCATATTTTGTATAAGAAGATTAGATGTGATCTTCTTACATAAAGGCCTTGATGTATCTGATGTACATGTTTTTAGTTTGGTTTGAACATTATTTGGTAACTTTATATGAAATAACTGTATGAATAACTTTGTCTCGTGTCTCTTGAAGTCATTTGGTGTCACACTCTGAAAGCATGTATGAGGTGAGTGGACCAACTGGATAACATGATAAGAGAGCCCGCCTCTTAAGTTGACAGCACCCTTCCTGGAGCACGGTTTAACTACAGACACTGCAGAGCTGCAATCATTCGCACTATGATGAACTTCATCTTGACAACAGCTTTAATTATCTGCAGCATCAGTAAGTACTGCCAACACATTTCTCTCTACTTTGTTGCTTCTACAATTAAGACTTATTTTCTTATGTATAATTTATTCAGAGGTGTTGTTTACCTTCCTATAACACACACATCTCTTGTTGTCTCTGCTGTTTGTTTCAGGCTGGATCTCTGTCTCAGTTTCTGAGTCTCAGACTGTGAAGGTCCAGCCTGGTCAAGAAGTCACACTGTCGACTACCAACATTTCCAGAAATCAAGCCATGACAACCTGGTTCAGAGTGGTCAACAGAACCAAGGCCAGCTGTATCTCCATTATGACCAAGGCTGACAGCGATCCTAAATACTGTGATGGAGTAGAAAACGGAACATTTGAAATGAGAATTTGCACGAACATTTGTCAGTTTAATGTTAGCACTTCTCAAGCCACTAAAGAGAAAATAGAGTCTAACTATATTTTCTTTCTTTTAACAGAGAGTGATAGAATACCAAACCTGATGAGTGTGATCCTGGGCGGCCTGACTGTTTTCCTCATAACGGTCATCATCTGTCTGGTTGTTAAAAACAGGAAACTTCAGAAAGGTACAATATTGTTTTAAGCAATTGCTTGGATCTTGTGTTTGGTTTCTTTTTTTTTTCTCTCCTCTAATGTTGTGTGAATATGTTGAAACAATACAAATGTTTATCTTGGTCACCTGATTAGACGTATTGTCTCTGTTGTTCAGCTGCCAACGAAAAACAGAATCTACAACAGCGTGAGGTGAATCAAGTTTTACTGTTTACTATTAAATATTTAAATCCATTAAAGGTGGTTGAATCATGTTGGGATTTAGTTTTTCTCACAAACTCAGCCAGTTGACGTGTGGAACTGTGTGTCCTTTTTACAGAATCTGGACTCTGATGACCTGAAAGCACTGAGTTTGTATTCAACAACAATAAGAAACAGGAGGCCTGCATCAGAGAGAGAAGTGGAAACTCATGTTGTTTATGCTGCCAGCAGATAGAATAATGCTATTAATCATATTCATCAATTGATGTTCTTATGTGGGTTTGGGGGGGGTTACCATTTTCTTATTTAAATCTTGATCTTTTAGTCTCATGAATCTCTCACTCTCTGTCTTTCTAACTCTAGAGAGACTGTCCACAAAGACAATAGATAGATGGAGGTCTGCAGATGGAGGAGTGAGAGAGGCACGCATCATTTGTTTAACAGGAAGAGACAGCAGAGTGGTCTGAGCACAGCTGAGCTGAAAATCATGAGGTCACTTAAATTAAATCTGAATCTGAATCTGAATAAAGTCGGACATGAAGCAGTGAATACTGGCTGACTTTCCTCTGCCAAGCAGACAAAGTGATCAGGTTCTATATTTTTATAGATATTTTGGAAACTGAATATTTGATGTCAATGTTTTACATGTTTGAATAAAACATAAAATTTGTTTTAAAGTGATTGGTACTTGTATTTATGAATAGAAATACTTAATTTATGAATATAAATATTTATGACAGCCACACATCCATGTTGTTGCACTTTGCACTGTGGTGAAAAACAGCTCTTTCTATATAAGGGAGATCTCTGTATATCTGTATCTTCACACCTCTGACAGACTCACTCGCTCTTTTATCTTCACATAGTGTTTAATCTACTGAAGCAGAGTGACACTTTTACAGTCTCACATGAAGCCATTCACTCCACACGCTGTACAGTGCTGTTTCGGAACAGAAAAGTTCAGCTGTGCATTCAAACAGGCGGATTTATGTGAAAGACAGTGATTGTGCTTTCCATGCGCTTGGTGATCTTTATTGTATAAATGTGCTTAAAGGACAAAATAACAGCACTGAGAGATGACAGTGAGATAACTCCAGAGTGATGACATGCCCAAAATCTGACTTAAAGTGGTGACAGACACTGTGTTCCAGGAGAGCAGGAAATGAACAATTCAGGTTGAGTTTATGAGGCTGTGGATTTGGTGCCTTCAGAACTGGAGAGGAGATTTGACCAGGACAGCATGCAGATAACAGCAAGAAGAGATACCATGATGATTGATGCAGCAAAGGGCCACAAAGTGGAACTGAACCTACATCATCATCATGATCATCTTCATCTTCATCTTTCCAAGCAGCTGGATGTAGTCCGCCTGCAGCTCCAACTCAGGATGTTATGAGACATTACCAAGGATTCTTCATGCAGCTCAGTCCCAGAAGTGGTCTTATGTCTCACCAAACTACACCAACAAACCAGAGAAGTAGAAAACCTCATAAAGGTGTGATGTCTTCACACATGTTTCTCCACTCTTCAATCCCAATCTCCACACTGATGTACTCAAAGGCGCGTTCCCAGTGAGTCCACAAGGGCATAGTGTTGTCTTACTCTCAAATCATTAATTGTATGACGGCCCTTTCACAGACTTTTTGAGCCCTTTATGCACTTCTGTAAGTCCGCATCCCTCCAGAATTTGCCTAAAGGAATTACCCACAGTTCATAGCGCTGTGACGTTACCAGTTGAAACCTGTACTAAAAAAGGTAAACAAACAAAACGATTTGAGATTGAACTCACTCCAAATTTAAGTTTGCCAGCAGCAGAGTCGGACTGTCCTAGACTGTAGATGTTTACAACAGTGATGAGAGGATGAAGAGGGACTATCCTTCTGGGCATGAGAAGAGAAAAAAACTCTGAGAGTGAACTGTAGGAACAGCAGTCAGGTTGTTCTCTCCTCTCAAAGTCTGATGTCAGCAGATAACAGTACTGTTGGTTGATGTGCAGCTGCAGTGCATCTCTCTGCGCTGCTCAAGGCTGGCAACAAAAAGGGGGGGCCTCACACAGACAATAGAAACAAAAATGTTTTATTTCAGGGGTTTTAAAAGTCTGAGACTGCTGGCCTCCCTTCAGGAAGTCCGCCCCAGATGGGCAGGTACAAGCACTGGACCCTCCCAGCTCCACCTACAAGCCACATCTCAGCATCTGCAAAACAGACAAGGAAACACACAGGCAGGCAGACTGGAGGAAGTTGTCACAGCTGTCTGTCTTGCTAAACCAGCTGGGCAGCACATCTCTTGCCAGACTTTGTGCCTGAACAATTTTGAAGAGAGTGAAATACAACTATTTATTACGTTTGATAAACACCAAAGGGCAACAGTGTTTATAAACTGCAGCTGGGAAAAGATAACCCCGTCGCCCGTGAACATGCGTTCATATGCACGTGCACGATATGAAGCTCACACATTCCAGCAGCAACCTCCGTGAGGACCAGTCCAGAAAATGTATGGGCCTGATGACACACCTCATTTTAAAATAAGACAACACAGTTACAACTCTGTTGATAAGTGGAGCTGACTCAGCAATATGGATGCACATCTCTCAGTAAATAATAAAATTCATGTATTAAAGGAAACCTGGTGCTAACCGCGTAAGATCAATGTGCACAGCAAAGTGTCTGGAAAGGACCTTAAGAGACGGTTGCATGATTTGGCAGAACAGCTGTTGTAGGTTACCTGCAACATTTTCATCCACCTCTTTTCTCTGCATAAATGAACGTTACCACCCACGAGGTGCACACAACTCTCAGCAGGCATGCAACACACCGGGACAAACTGACACTATATTTATACAAAGACAGGAATAATTTCATGTGTTACATTTGCTGAATTTACAAAACAGCGTTTCACAAAGTTTATATAGATTCCCCTAACTCAACAACTCCATAAACTCTTTGATTTTTTTAAGCAGGTCTGGGGCGGATTAGCCGCTACCTCACGCAGAGTCAGGAGAACTGTTCTCTTTTCTTTATAAAGTATAAACTGGTCCGGTCTTGTCTTATCTTGGGCGCTCTACAGCAACACGTTGTCCAGGTGTCGCCATGATCGTTTATGATTATGAAGTTAGAGCACATCTGAAAGTGAACGGGATCATTGTGTAACATACTTAATTGCTACTCTCGACGCCATTAACAATTAATGACCAAACGTTACAGCTCATAACGTGAAGCAGCATGGCTTTAACGTGAAGCTAGTTTGCTGACTATCTTACCAAGACCAGTCTTCATTATCCACAGAGCCACAACGTAACGTGAAAAAAGTGTATGTGTGCCCAAAAACCACAAATGGCATACACCGAAAAATATTTAGACTAAACCGTGCGTACGCACACTCGTTCCCTTTATAAATCACAATCATCTTGAAATGTGCCGCATGTGAGGGAGCCCCATGTCCGACCCTTCAAACGCCCATAGTTGCCTATAAATGGTCAGTGAAACGCCCCTCATTAATATTAATACCTACTGACTGCAGGAAGAAAAGGAGGCAAAATCTGACAGAGAAGCTACAAAATGAAATTTAACTAAGTGTGACACTGCCGTTCCTTTTGGTGAAGCTGAAGTTGTTTGGTGGATAAAAAACGCACTTTCACGCAACGCTTGTGCACCGGAGGAAAGGGGGCACCGGAGCTCCACCCCTTTATAACGGATCTGATTTCCATAATGTGTTTTTACAAGCAGAGCATCATATCCACACACTGGCGCACAGCGTTTGGCTCGATAAGGAAACAAACATGTGATAACAATATATGAAACTATGCTCTCATATTTGTTTGACTGACGCACTGAAAACGGCATCAATTTAAATTTAATTTGTCCTCCTGTTCACCTTATTTATGAGAATAAATTGCACTGCATGCAAGTATTAATTAATATGACTCCTGTACAACATATTTCTGGCGTTCTTTTGCAGAAACAGATGTCTCCTTGATATCTCTTGTGTTTGTGTGTTTTTTTTCCATTTTGATTCAGAAAGGCTTTAAGCCTATAATACTCAGAGGAAATATTTCGATTTATTTTACATAATAGTAGGCCTATTCATTTCTAACCGTTTTATCCTTCTGCCATGTGAGTCGCCGTTTCTCATTTCTCCTCTTTATGTGCGTATACGTGGTTCAGAGTTTCCTTACAGGACCGCACATTTTCCCGTCAAGTTTGCTTTTTATAGATCACAACCTTTGCTTGGGAAGTGGCGTATGCACGTTTCCAGCCCTGTTTTGTACGTACGCAACGTTTATAAATGAGACCCCTGCTCTGGACAGCAGCAATAGGATTGTCTGATGAAAGATCGTGGCAAATTCTGGTTAGTCAACTGAGAGTGGGCGCCTGTATCAGCTGATTAAGAGAAGCAGGAAGAAAGATCGAGACAGGCCGAGGCTGAATCCTAATCCTCACCCTAAATCCTAAACCCTTAACCCTCACAGACTTTACTGACGTTACTTGATAAGTGCTTAAGTGCAAGAGGCTGCAAGGGCCCCAAATGCTATAATGGGTTGCACTTTGCAACATATGTTACGTCACCTGGACTACGCCAAAACAGCATTTTTTACTTTCTTTACAGCGGAGGCACAGAAGGGACCTGATTTGAATATTTTCCAGGTTCTTGCTGAGTAAAGTGATTATGTGAAAGTTAGCTGTGGACAAGAGGTAATTTTCAAATAACTAATACAGTGTGGAGACTGGGATTCAGCCAGAGACAGACACATAGACATTTCAATGAATGGTTATAAAGACAGGTCTTCATGATTGAACTTAAACTGAGCTTGATTTGATGTGAAACTACACAAAAAGCAATTTAAAGCACATTAAACATTTAAACCACCAGTATTTAACAGCCATAAATGTTGGGAGAAAGAAGAAAACTAAATAAAATAAAATACAGCAGTGGGCTATGACAAGTGTTGGGGTAGTTACTCAAAAAAATTTATGGAATACACATTACGAGTTACTTTAAAAAATAAACAAATATCACAAATCATGCTTTTAGGGGAGCTGATGTCTTATTAAAGGCTGCTAAGCTCACCCTGGCTCCCCCGTAGTTCGCACCCTGGGCAGGAGTCTCTCAAATCAGACAACCTGTTCCTCCTTGAAGTCAGCACTAGATTGCCAGGCTTAACAGCCTCGCCACAGGCACACTAGAGAGTATCGCTGTCATTTCACGAAACATTATGAAGTAATACCTCCACCCCTCGAAAGACTTCTTTGGCATTCTGTATCCTCATGAACTGGCGCTAAAGTCAAAAGTTAGGAAAAGTGTTAACACGCACGAAAAGGGACGTTTGATTTATTTTTCTCTCCTCCATTTATGTGGATAGTTCAAGAACCAGTTCGCAAGTAACGCGATTATTTTGTTATTGCAACTCCTAAGGTGATTTCTTCAACAAGTTTCACCAAACCCACGTGGAACTTCCTGGACACACAACTCAACGCACTTTCACTTTTGTTCGCACGTAAACAGGAAGAAAGTATGATGCACTTGGCGAAATAACATGTGCATCTGACAATAAATGGCTCTCCTCAACTAATCTGGCATGTCCAAGCACTTGTGCATCTCCGGACACATCGGCGGTCTTGTCAAG